ATGCTGTTACATAAAGTAAATTATTTGATATTGAAATATATTGTGGATCAAGTTTTTTTGAGCCTAAATATTAAAAAATTTATTTTTAAAATTTAAATCAATTTATAATTATTTAACCTCGCATAACAATCCATTCACTATCATATTTCATATGATGATTAAGTACAACCATACGTGAATTAGATGGTAATGTACAACGATTTATTGATACAGATGCACAATCTTATCTTAATTTAAGTGTACCAGAAGGTAGAGACAAAAAATTATATTGAAATATTGATCTTTGTTTTTTCTTAGGTATTATCTGTGATAGTTCAAATCAATTGATTCTTGCTGATCGTTATACATCAAAAATTTTAGCTATAAATGATGGTAACCAACAACAAGCTATTCATTTTCGTGGTGATAAAATGAAAGCACCACATTATGTTTGCTTTTCTAATGATCAAAATACAATGATTGTTACTGATGTTGGAAATAATACAGTACAATTTTATGAGAAAAACAAATAAAATCCTATTAGTTTCTTCTTTGAAAATAATCAAAGAAGAGAGAATAGAGACATAGAAATAAAATTTTTCTTTTTACCTTTTTTTTTCTTATTAAAATAAATAATTTTGAAAATTTATTTTTAACAGGTGTTTTCTTTTTGGCGAGCAAAAAAAAAAAAAGGGAGGATATCAAGACTTACATGTTTATCTGGTTCTTGTTGACAATGATGAACTTGAAGAAAAATATTACGTAATTCATTAATACATTGACGATGATTTTCATCATCTTCTTTTGGCTGTTGAATTTTATTTGAAGACTAGAAAAAAAAAGAAAAACCATTCATTTAAAATACATAATAAATAATAATCAATACAAACTTCATCCATAGGAATTGATTCAGTCATATCAACATTATTACTCATTTTTATTTAATCTAAAAAAAAAAGAACCAAAATAATCGTTGCATGTTTAAGTTTAATATACTTTTATCTCGCAATCCGTTTATCTTCTTACTTTCCAGTACATTAAGTTAATCGGAAACTTTAAAAAAAAAGACAGAAAGAAGATTGTGTATCTAAACTATAATGCACATCGTAATAAACAACTATGACAAGTACAATGAAGTTAATTAATAGATAATAAATTTAATTTTTGTTTTTTAAATATAAATAGACATGTCTTTTAAGTATTGTCCGAATATTATAAAAATAATTCTCTCTCGCAAGACATTAGTCGTCTTTAACTATATCCTAAATGACTTCAGGCTAATCTATTTTTTAGAGTATAAAATAACATGAGAATTTTTTCGATTGAAGTATTAAAACCCTAGAGATTATGATCCATGTGTGTCGACATTACGTAATGTCATATTGAATTAGATATATTTCTAATATATTCTAGAAAATATCTTAATAAAATTGTTATTCAGATTCAATATAAATTCTAAATTATTTTTTAAAATTTTTCTTCTGATTTAATATATATTTTCAAAATTATGATATTTTTTTCTCGGGTATATTTAATTTAAGATACAAATATGTTAAATTTTAGATAAGAAGCTTAAATCAAAGTCATTAGTAAAAGTATTACTGTTAAAGACATCAGACAATTCTCCGTTTTTTTAAAAGCATGCCTTATCGAGGCTTACTTTTTTAGCTATGATCCAACCCTATTTAAATTCGAGAAAACATTATAAAACAGCAAAAACTAAAAGAATGATGTCACTGTTTTATCTACACACATAAATTGATCAAAATAGTGGGAGCCACCTAACAGTCAGAATGATTCCCCTACGTACGTGCAAACCATTATAAGAGTATATATATATATTTTTTTGTATTAGAATTCTTAACATAAAGAAATTATTAACCAATACACTCTAATTACAAACAAGGTTTTTTTTTCATATAATATTTTCAAAAAAAATTGTTCTCAAAATCTAATCTAGTCAAAAAGGAAAGTAAAATTATATACTGAAAGAACAATGCTATGGAGACAATCGTTTTCGATAGAAAAAGAAAAAAAGAAACAAAAGAATGTGTGAAATACGATTCTATTTAATCGATGAGCTCTTTCAATAAGATAAGAACGTCAAATATCCATGATACATAAATTGGCTTAACTTAACAAATAAAACAAACTAAAGAGGAAAAGAATATATTTATAAAATGTCAAGTGACATGAAATATGAACTTGCTATTGCTGAATGTAATTCTTTACGTCGACAATTAAAAGATGCTTATAATAAATGTTCAGCAATATATGAAGCACTTTCAATACTTGATGATCATTCAACAAAAGAACGAATTTTACTTGAAAGTTTAATATCTGATTTAAAACAAACAATAGAAAATGAATTAGAAAGAAATATGAATTTATATATTGAAAAATTACAAATTGAAAAAAAAGAAAAACTTTCTCAACAAGAAATACATGATCAAACACAAGATCTCAATAAAATAATGATTAAATATCGGCGACTTTATATAAATCAACAACAAGAAAAATATATTCAAAATAATCTTATTATTCGAATGAAGAAATAAAATTAATTATTCCCTATAATGGGTTTGAAAAACATTTCTTTTCTTATTGATCAAATCAAACAATAACAAGCGCTAATCAATAACAATCTACATAATTCCTATAGAGGTCATTATCATTTTGTTTAGATGTTTTCTTTTTTATGTTCTTTCAAAAAAAAAAAAACTAATAAAATTGAAATTTAATGGAAGAAATAAAGGTTTGTTGTCTTTGAATTCTAAAAACGACTTGAAATAAAAGAGATTATATTGAACAATTACATCGTTCTTTTTTTTAAAATGATATAGAGAATTTGATGAAAATTAAAATTGTATAAAACAAATCCTTATTCTCTTAATCGTGATAAAATAAATTATTCGTAGCAATTTTTCAATTTGAACAAACTAATCTTAGATATTACTTAAAATATATTTTTAGATCGGTAGTATTATATTTAAACTAACAAATTCAATAATTGTAGAATATTTTTAAAGAATAATTTGATGTGAATAATATCGTCAACTAAATAGATTAGTCGGCTTGTCTTTTGAGATTATTCACAATAGATATTAACTAATTGATAAAGTACTGTATTCGTTGAATATTTTATTAAGTTAACAACATTCTTATGCATATTAAGTTTGATTTGCGTTCCACTATAGATAGTTACACAGGCCTAAATCAAGCAGCAACGGTTGTAAACGACCGTATACTTTCTTGTCATATACGATGATTTATCGAGAATAAAAATGCTCGATCAGTCTTCATATATGAAAGGCGTATACAGCTTCCGCTCTGCTCCACATACAATCGTATTGCTCCGCATACGTTCACAGAGATATACGGTTGTATAACGAACATGCATGGACGTATAAGGACTCCGTATTCATCGACCTGTACGTAATTATACACATATTCAAAACTTGATTGAAAAATTTCAAGGAGACTTATTCTTAGGACTCAGAAGTGTTAACTTTCCTTATTCTAATCATGAAAATAATTTATCAAAGAATTTTCACTCTCGATACTTATGTGATATTGTAAATTGCTCTTGTTTTGACAATTCTTTTGTCAAATACTTCATCGAAGGAATTACTTATATGCAATAATATATGTTTTTTTTCTCTTTCTATTAATTTACAGGGCGATAGTACATCATCGTTTATACAATCTCAACTTCATTCCATAATAGCATCTCAACGTGCTACAATAGAATCTCTTCGTGATTCGATAGCACGAGCACATGTGCCTCGAAGTGAATATGATGAACTTGTTTCTCGTCTTGAAGAATCTCAAGCTTATACTGCTGATCTTCAAAATCAACTTGATGCATCTTTAGCTCATTCGAATGATTTACAAAATCAACTTGATGCAGCAAGTATACTTTCGAGTCAACTTCAAATTGAACTTGACGATGCTCGTACGAAATTAACTTCAACCTACGTTGTATTAGATGAAGCTTGTGCTAAGATTGATTTAGAACGTGCTGAATTTGAAGAATCATTAAAGCATATTCATCGTACAACAGTTGATGAAATTCGGAAAAATTCTGAATTATATGCTAAAACACTTGCAATGGAACAAACATATGTAGCACAACGACAAGCACTTGACGTAAAAACAAATGAATTAAAACAATTGGAAAAACGCTTAACAAAACAAGAAGAACGTGCAACAAATAAAATTAATAAATTAGCTGTTAAACTAGAACAAGAGAAATTTATTTCAAGAGAAATTGTGCAAACAGGAACAAACAATTTAATAAAATCAAAAAATAAAAAATGATTTGTACAGTTTTGTTTTTGTTTTTTAGTTGACTGGTTTTAAGCAATAAACATTTGTTTAATTCTTGAGTGTTTTTTTTTCTAAAAATGATACTTTAGCAAGTGAAAAACTAAGTTTTAGAAAAACAACTTTCATTCATTTTTTTGTCTTTGTCAAATGCAAAATTTCATGAAGTATACTCAACAAGATCATTACAGTAATTGATGAAAGTCTCCGCTCTAGCCGATGTCGGCTACTCTATGTGCTGAAGGTCTGAGAATTTGTGTACAACGAACTTCACCAAGAATGTAGGTCATTGGCATTGCGGCATCACTCTATTGATTAATTGTGAAGAGAGTTATAATGCATGGCACTTATTTTTGTTGTCAGCTTTATGACCCTGACAAGGACATGAGATGCCTAATTTGACTTCGAATATAAATGGAGCTTCGACTGCAGGACATCACTTTGATAACAAGTGACAAAAAATCGCACCAACGCCTGATGATAGCAAAAGCAAAAGATAAATTTTATCCTAATGATAAATTTATAAATTCGAAGGCTCACAATGGTATGAATACAGAAACCTAATTCAAACCTCCGCTACAACATTTGCGCACGTAATTTATCCTTTATTTCAGCATCGCGGCATGAGGGCGCGCAGTGCCCCCTCCGCAGAGCCGCGACCTACACTCGTCTCGGTGTACATAATAATGCGAACTTCGAAACAAGAATTCTACTCATAATTCCACTACAAACTTTAGCTTTTGTTTTTCTCCTCTTGCAACAAAGTCAAAACAAAGTAAGCTGCCCACATAAACTTCAAAGCTGAAAGTGACTTACGAATCCACATTTTCCCAATCAAACCCAATCCATGTTTTGTCATTTATGGTAGTAAGACTACCTTCGACTGGAAGCCTAGTTGGAGACGAATATGTAATAATGCATAAGTACATTAACTGGGATGCTCGAGGTATCACCAGGTATGCTAGTCGCATTTGCTGCGCTCCCAGATGCATCACCTGAGATGCAGCAGGAGCTACCTGGGATGTCACAGCTAATACATGGGCTGCTAGTGTCATTCCCTGGGATATCAGTATCATTACCAGGAATGCCTGTAGCGCTGTTTAAAATGCCAGAGGCAGCGCCTAGAACGCTAGCGACATTATCTAGAATGCTAGAGGCATCCCCATGGGTACAAGTCGCATTACCCAGGTTGCCGAGGATTGACCTATGATTCTGGAGGCAAAATCTGAGATGTCAGAGGTACCATTTTGGATCCCCAAGGCATGACATGGGAGCCCACAGGCATCATCAGCGATGCTGGTAGCATTATCTGAGAAGCTATGGGCATCCTGTGCGATACCAGAAGTGTCAGCTGCTATGCTGGAGAGATCAGTGTGGATGTTCGATGCGCTGCATCTTTACCCAGGAATATGCCAGGTAGTGCTACTAGCAGCGTAAGTGACGCTGCACGCATCCCAGAAAACGCTACTAGCAATGCAGGTGATGCTTCAAGAATGTCATGCTATCACTCTAGCTTCCCACGTGATGCGTCAAGCATCCCTTGTTATGCGTGGAGCATCGCGAGCAACCTATCCATCCAACATCGCATGCTGCTCTCACCTAGGATTCC